CCTTCCGCCGCGCCCTTAAGACCTGGTTGTTTCAGCGGGCAGGACTGGCCTAGGGGTATTTTAAATTGGTTTTAGCCAAATTTTAGTAGAAACGGCCGATTTAAATATTTATTTTTAATGATTTTTTAAAGCTTTGTATTGTATTGTATTAAACTGTTTTTAACTGGCTGTAAGCCGCCCTGAGTCCTACGGGAGAAGGACGGGGTATAAATATAATAAAATGAAAAAAATGAAAAATGAAAAAAAAAAAACCTATTAAATAATACCCCAGATAAACAAGAACCAGCACCAGATAAACAAAAACAATCAAGAAAGAAACAATACCCCACTCCAAAAGCAAGTAAGGAACAAACTATACCCCAATTGAGGTTGGTAAGACAAGCTACTACATATAAACAACTAACAAACTGCATTTCCCCATGGACTTAAAATGCTACCTAGTCTGATAATGAATTTCCTTGTGACGAGAAGCAAACTCAGAGAACATCAAAAACCCAGGAGCGACTAAACATAAAAGTAAACTGAATGTAGTGAGAATATTTAGTTTAATATGTCTAATAAATCTAGAAGAGATAAGGTCAGTAATTAATGAATACTGGATAAATAGAGCTACAAAACATATATGAGCAATACAGAAGAAATATACTGAAAAAGTTTAATCATATAGACAGACTGAATGACGATTGACTTGCAAAACAAATGTCTGAAAAACCAGTGAATGGATCTAGAATTAGGGGAAGACCAAAAATATTGTGCTTGGATGGAGTTAACATTTTCAAATGTAGAGAAGCAACAAGGAAAAACATTCAGTAATTGCAATGTATGAAGCAGTGTTGCACTTATTGAAAGAAGAAAACAATAAGCAATACTGATTGTTTGAAAAGGTATTGTTTGAAGCATCTAGATTGCTTGATTATTCTGTTATATATTACTGCATTCCTAGATGTTCTAGGATTAAAGGCAATGAATGATTGCCAAGAAAATCATTCAGAATTTTAAATTTAAACCTATGCTAAAATGATAACGATAAGAAAATCAGAACAACTTTATTCACTGACCTCTTTAATCAATAGTTTAATTATTATCTGGGCAGGGTAACCTGGATCAGCTAAGAATACTGATATTCAGGATTGTCTGATTCAATTTGAGGATTGAATCCATAGCTTTGGAAGCAATTCAGTCTGCAAAAGTGTCTGTTTAATCTGACTCAGACCCCAAAGTTGGAAACAGCATCTGAATTACCATAGTATATAACATGCCATTTCTCCCTTTTTTCTACCACAGTGTTTCTATTTGCTGTGGAGAATAGTAGACTGGAATAAAGTAGACTGATATATGTAATCTTCAATTTACGACCACAATGGAGCCCAAAATTTCTGTTGCTAAGTTAAACATTTGTTAAGTGAATTTTGCTCCATTTTACGACTTTTTCCTTGCCACAGTTGTTAAGTGAATCACTGCAGTTGGTAAATTTGTAACATGGTTGTTAAGTGAAATTAGTTTCCCCATTGACTTTGATTGTCAGGTCACAAAAGGGGATCACGTGATCCCTGGACACTGCAACTGTCATAAATATGAGTTGGTTGCCAAGCATCTGAATTTTGATCATGTGACCATAGAGATGCTGGAAAGGTTGTGTGAAAAATGGCCATGTCAATTTTTTCAGTGATGTTGTAACTCTGAATGGTCACTAAATGAATTATTGTAAGTCAAGGACTACCTGTACTTTTCAGAAAGAAATCTGATCATCCATTCTACCTCAGGTAAATGGCAGTCTGATATTAGTTATGTAGGTCCAGTGCTAAAATAGTTTTTTTCTGAACCTATAGTACAGTCCTGATTAAGCAGCAAATATATGTGATCTCTTGTTTCTAGAACTGTTATAGAGATTCTTTCATAATGCAATGCTCTACTAATTTTCTGTATTTTTCTATTAATCACTATCATATGTGAAACTCAAAGTAAATATCTTCAGGCATCCTTTTTATCAAAATTAAAGGGATTCAACATATAATTCACTTTGAATTCAAATGGCATAGTGAGTTGAAACTTTGGATGCAATGCTGCATGCAAACTGTTATAACTGTTATCATATAAGCTCTATTTAACATCTTCTCTGCAGCAAGGGTACTGATAGTTTCAATTTGCTTTTCTATGTTAGTAGTTCTATTAATTCTAAATGATCTTACGTTCAGGATCACTGCAGCTTTTGTTGCCCTCTCATTGCTGTGCTCTGTTGTGCAGAATTGATCCCCTAGAGGCAGGCTTGCCACTCTATGTAAAATAGAAGGAAAGGGAGAAGGGAAAAGGAAAGGTAATCAGAGAGGAGAGGAAAGGACATGAGAAAAATGGAAGATTATATTATAGAGAAGGCAGAGAGAAACTCAGTTGCAACTAAATACATTGGTTCTTTGAAGTCCAAACATTCTGTTTCCCAGGCATATGTAATGACCTAACAATATACTAGAACTATGATACGTCATAGGTGAGCCTATTTGCCCTAACACAGAGATGTGCAACTATTTTTATCTGGCATGGTTATATTTTTCCCTAAACAGGTTTTGTCTTTGAGAGATTCAGAGTGTATGCTCCAAAGACACTACAATTTCATTGAATCAGCAAAAATTAGTTTTGCTCAGTAGGAAGAGGAGCATCACTATTAAAATAAAAATTGATAGGTGAAATCTCACATTTTTGTCTTTAATGTCCCTCCTTACAAAATAAAAAATCATAATCTTATAATCCAACCATTCTGTCTCTAAATTTTAATTGTATAACTTTTGTAGTATTCTGGAAATCTAGAGACTATGATTTGCCAATCCTACTCATAAAAGATACTTCTATTCAGGCATACTGAACTCAGTAAGAAATAATTCTGAATGTGTATACAAGTTGAATAAGTGGATTGAGGCTTGTTTTTTTTTGGGGGGGGGCTTTAAGTCAGTCTTGATTCCTGATGACTGCCTAGGCAAATTCCTACAGCTTTCTTGGCTACATATCAAACCTAAATACTCAATAACGAAAGGATGTTTGTTAATTAAGCTTTTGTTTTCATACTGATAACTTAATCTCTTTCACTGAAAGCATTTTCATGAATAATATTAATAAAATGTTGATGTTGACTGTATGTGTATTGACACATTGTGATTGGGTTCATATGTATGAAATCATGGCTTGTTTAACAATGGTTTATTGAATACAAACATTATACTTAGTTTATACAACATATAATTGATAAACTATAATTTATAAATCAGAATAGTGGTTCACATAACATGATAAGCCAAAGCTAATATGTAGCTAATGTGTGAATCAAGCTTACAGGTTTTTAAATAAATCATCTATTGGCAAGTTGCAAGTACATTGCTTAAAAATAGAATTCCAGATAAACAGAGATTCAGAAGAAAATAGATGTTCAATGCAGACATCAACACATTTATTTATTTGTAAAATGTATTGGCAACCCATCTTGCCACAGGGTAATTCTGAGTGGCTTACCATCTTAAAAAGAAAAAAACTATACAAACCTAAAAAACATAAATAAAATACTGTAAAGATCCAATTACTGACCCCCAATTAAAAGATGGGGAGGGAGTAATCTGTCAGTCACCTCCCATGTGAAACCCCTCCATTGGAGTCTCAAGCCAACTGGCAGGGCTAAGTCTTTAAGCTCTTGCGGAAGGTCAGGAGGGTTGGAGCCAACCTCACTCCAGGGGGCAAGATGTTTCAAAGGGCAGAGAAGGCTTTTGTCCTAGACCAGGGATAGGCAACCTTGGCTCTTTTATGACTCGTGGACTTCAACTCCCAGAATTCCTGAGCTGACTGGCTCAGGAATTCTGGGAGTTGAAGTCCACGAGTCATAAAAGAGCCAAGGTTGCCTACCCCTGACCTAGACTCCACCAACTAGAATACTTTGATTGATGGAGTCCGCAGAATACCTCCTCTGCTAGCATGGGTAGGGCAAGCCAATCTTAGTGGGTCAAGTAGCCTGGACCCATGCCATGAAGGGCTTTAAACATGATTACCAACACCTGGAATTGCACCACGAAGCAAACTGACAGCCAATGAAGCTCATGGAGCAATGGCATAAATAGGTCACCCTTGGACCTCAAGAACTGCCTGTGCCACCACATTTGCACCAGCTGTAGCTTCCGAATGCTCTTCAATGGTAGCTGCATAGAGAGCACATTGCAACAGTCCATCCACAAGATGACCAGAGCTTGAATGACTGAGCACAGCGACTTCTAGTCTAGGAGAGGCCGCAACTGGCACACAACTCAAAGTTGCACAAAGGCTTTCTTAGCTATGACTTCTACCCGCTCCTCAAGCAGGAGTCGTGAATTCAGGAGAACCCCTATGTTACCGATGGGATCTGTCTGGGGTAGTGTCACTCCACTGAGAACTAAAGATGATAAAGTTCCAAATCATGGGCTCCATGCACCCAAACCCATTCGGTCTTGCCAGGGTTCATGCAAAGCCTGTTGTCTCCCATCCAAGACCCCACACCTCCAGGAACCACAAAAAAGCAGCAACAGCATCACTTGGGTCACCAGGGGTGAAAATATAGAGTTGGGCATCACAGCGTACTGCAGATACTTCAAACCATGGTGATTGATGACCTCACCCAGCAGTTTCATGTAGATGTTAAAAAGGAGTGGAGAAAGTACCGAGTCCTGTGGCATGTCACAAGATAGTGGTTGAGGGCTGAATCTCTCACTCCCTATTAAAAGTGATTGGGACCAGCCTTGGAGAAAGGAGTTGAACTAGAGCAAAACTGTGTCACCCAGACTCAGACCCAGTAACCAACCCAAAAGGATACCATGGTCAATGGTATCAAAGGCTGCTGAGAGGTAAAAGAGAGTGAGGATGGTTGAACTACCTTCATCTCACCCTCATCAGAAATCAACAAGTGCAACCAATACCATTTCTGTCCTGTTATCAGGCCTGAATCCTGACTGAAAGAGGTCCAGATAATCCATCTCATCTCTTAAGCTGCCAGGCAACCATATTTTCCACCACCTTCCCTAAAAAGGGAAGATTGGAAACAGGATTAACATTGCCCAAGCAGGTGAGATCAAGTGATATTTTTAAAGAGGGAGTAAACCAGGGCCTGCTTAAAAGGGCCTTAGAATATCCCCTCCTGTAATGATATATTAATCACTGCCTGAACCCACCTGCTAGTCACGGTCCCGGAGGCTTTCACCATTCAGAAGGGACAAAGATTTAACTGACAGATGGTGGTGCTAACAGTATCAAGGACCCTTTCCACTTCCTCAGGGTCAAACAATTCCCAGATAACTGTGCATGACCTTGTCCCAGGTATCTCATATGGAATTGCTCCATAACTGAGAACAAATCCAAGTGAGTTTGTCAGTTGTTGAACAAATTCCTCTCCATGGCCCTAAAGATGATCACCCAAAAACCCCTGTCCCAGGAAAGAACAGTTGATCTGGAACAGGCCCACTGCATGACACTCTTGGCTCACTCTTCTTGGTCAAGTTGTTCATGGTGTGTGCGGGAGTGCAAAATGTGTGGGTCAGAGGGATGCCCACTTCCTCTCCCTGCGAGGAGACCCAGCTTTGTAACCAAAGCATCCTCCAGCAATAGAATGGGAGACCACCAGGAGAGATCAGGAGGAGGGGACAAGAGGATGGTGAAAGAGCAGCAGGGCTGCTCATGGCCAAGTGCTAAGAAAGGACTTCCCTCAGACCCCCCCCCTCTCATTCTAATCTCCTTCCTTCCTTCCTTCCTTCCTTCCTTCTTCCTTCCTTTCCTCCTTTTCTTCTTTTTCTTTCCCTCTTCATTCTCCTTTCCTTCTTCTTCCTTCCCCTCTTTCCTTCTTTTTGTTTGTCTTTCCCTTTCTCCTTTCCTGTCCCTTCTTGGATGTTCAAATGCAAAAGGGGAAACATTTCTCAATGCCTCCTTGCCTTGTGATCAAATGTCACTTTTGCTAGTAATCTGTGGCCACTTAAAAGACTGAGAACAAACCAGACTCAGTTTATCCCATGCTTGCATTTAGTGGGGGCATCCACAGACACAGGTACAGCAAAACTGTCAAAATGGGGCTGTGATAGTTGATCAGAGCTCCTCCGTTTTTTTATGTGCAACAGCTTTAGCATTTAGGAACAGAGGTAGCTTAGTTGCTTTTCTGTTAATACATAATCCTTAAAAGGGCTCTCCTGTAGGGACCCTGCCATGATCTAATTCAGACTGGAAATATAGTAAAGGAAAATATTTTCAACCACTCTGCTTTGGCCTGTTTTCCCCACTGGAAATGGATGTTTGCAACATACAAGGAGGGGATACTTTCCTAAGAGTTCACAATTCAAGAATACCAGTGTTAATTTGGATTTCCAATAAAGTCCTGTCTGTGACAAAAGAGAGCACAAAATAGCTTTCTCCTTTGAGCCCAAGTCTCAATGGATCCAGGATTGAAGCAGAACTGCGTGAACTGGGCATCTCCAACCAAGTTGCCTCTCCTTCCTTCCTTCCTTCCTTCCTTCCTTCCTTCCTTCCTTCCTTCCTTCCTTCCTTCCTCTGTTCCTTCCTCCATTCCTCCCTCCCTCCCTTCCTTCCTTCCTTGGTTCCTCCCTCCCTCTCTCCCTTCCTCCCTCTCTTTTTTCCCTCCCTCCCTCTCTCCCACCCTTCCTTCCTCCGTTCCTTCCTTTCTCCCTCCCCTTTCCCTCCCTCTCACCCTCCCTTCCTCCCTCCCTCCCTCCCTTCCTTCCTTCCTTCTTTCCTCCCTCCCTCTCTCGTACCTTCCTTCCTTACTTCCTTCCTTACTTCCTTACTTCCTTCCCCTTCTCATCTCTTTCCTTCCTCCGTGCTCAGGAAAGGGTGATGGGAGGGGGAGAGATTGCCAGCGTTGCCAGTGTCCATGCTGCTGCTGGTCGTCGCTATCCCACGCAGGTGGGCGGGGTCGGTCCTGGTGAAAGGGAAGCCTTGTGGCTGCGAGGCTAGGTCAGCGAGTGAGCCATAGAGGTACTGGTAGAAGGAGGGGATGGCGCTGATCTACAACCTGGTTGCATCCATCAAAGCCAGAACACGCTCAGCCTTAGATCCATGGGGCAGCCCTGGAACCAGCGAGGAGCTGCCCCACAGCCTCTGCTCCGCCCCCTGGTTGTGCGCATAGGAGACAACCAGTGATAGCATCGTGGATGAATTCAGCCTGCAGGGCAAGACAGCCAGCAGGATCGCCCAACTCCGCCTGTTTGCCGCCTCTTGCACACACACCTAAAGGGCGGGGCAGGGGCACCCATTGCTGGTTCGAGGGCTGCCCCATGGATCTAAGGCTGAGCATGTTCTGGCTTTGATGGACGCAACCAGGTTGTAGATCAGTGCCTGGTCGGCCTGGGCTGGGCCGAGGTGCCGATGGCCAATCCTTCGCTGTTTCCAGAGTAGATCCCCGGAACCAAATGGCAGGCCGGATCCGGTCCATGGGCCTTGTGTTTGACATGTCTGCTCTAGACGTCCCTAGATTCCAGGCCATTACCAAGGCTTTGGCAGGGCCGTACAGCAACACCTTCAGGATATCCCCCAATTGCTCTGGAACATATTAGGGTCCATCAGTTGGCATAAGAGCATGTCAGGGACACCAGGACATGATCTGACTATGATAAGGAGGATAATCTTAAATCCTCCACCAGGCCATGTTGCCATTGCTCTGACAAGAAAATCAGATCTGGTCTGTGATCACTATCCTGAGTCGAACTCATGATGATTTGCTGCCATGATGATCATGAATTCCTGGACCACTTCCAAGACTGAACCCAAGGATTGAAGTCTCCCAGAACCACAAATGTGGGAAACTCCTCTGCCAGCCCTGAGACAGCCTTTAGCAGTTCAGGCCTGAAAGTTGTCACACAGCAGGAAGGCTTGTATACTAGGAATAATCCTAACTGATTCTGTAAACTCAGCTTCAGAAACAGAGTTTCACAATCAGAAACTTGCAGAGCAAGGTCTCTGAAGGCCAAGAGAGACTCTCTTTGGATTTTGCCAAATCCAAAATCAGCTGGATATATCTTCAAATGTGCCGCTCCCCTTTCCAGAGACAATCAGGTCTCAATGATGCATGCCAAGTCAGCTCGCTTCTCCTCAAAACCTCAATATATGATTTATTTCCAGACATCTTCTACTTCAGCTCAATAGCTATGTATAAAAACGTTCCAAAACATTTTATAGAAACATGATTTAAAATCCCTGGTCACTTTAGGGTGAAGAAAGTGATGGAGTAACTGCCAGTAATATATAATATACTGCCAGGATTAGAAGAGTCTCTTCTGCTGTCTAAGAGGGAGACCTAAATAAATGGGGAAATCTTGACCATATTGTCCATATTGACAAGATGGATATCTTTGTATTGTGAAAAAGATAAAGTGATAACTTAATTTTTTTAAGTTGTGATTTGTGAATGAAAACTGAATTCTTTTAGCTAAATGAAAGTAGATTTCCGTTTTTATCTATGGGTCAGCAATCCATAGATAAATTAATTTGTACTTTACTAAACAAAATAACCAAATGGAATAACTGTAATCTGTATTATTAGATTAAATCTACATAGATCATGTAGATCTTCCTTGGCCTTTTGTATTATCTAGCCTGATGTCATATTCAGGTAGATTCTATTATGACACTTTGGATAGTCCTAATAAAAAGATCCAAGTTGATGGGATGTTTAAAGCCTGGACCAAGCTAGAAACTGGTATCAGCCCTAGGAAGATAGTGGCAAACCACTTTTAAAAATGATGCCAAGAATACAGGGACTTACCTGATTGATTCCCCAAAATCAAAACTGACTGAAGGCACAACACAAAATGAAACAGGTTAACTGTCTAATCATAGATTGCGATTTTTTTCCCCTGGCAGGCCCATCAGGTGATATTTTGAAGTGGCTGCAGTTCCCTTAATATAGATACATATATTACAGAGAAGGTAACAAGTGCCAAAATGTCTATGTTTTCTTCATAGACATTTAGTGAACGTCAAATTTTAACTGGGTTATAGCTACCCATGCGCGTCTGTCTTTAAGTCTCCTATTGTGAAATGAAATCGTAAGAATTCCCCCATTATACTGGGAACGGAATGTAGGGAAAAAAGAGATGTGCTTCACAAGCGAGACATAAATATATAAAAACCGCCGCGACCATCTCCAGAAATGGAATTTCGCCCATAATAAACAAACCGTATGTGTAAAAGTAAATCTCACAATCAAAAAAGGAGGGGGGCATACAACCTTTTCGCATTTAAACAAGCGGAGCTGAGAACGCCAAGAAATTTCTCACCTTCCTATTTTTGGTCTGCCTGCCTCAGGCGCGTTCGCGCTTTCTTTCTCTCCAAGCCGTCGAGTAGCGTCTAATTCGTTTCCGTAGCAACCCCATAGTTCCGGTTTAGGGATAGAGAAAAACGAACGAGCGTGCGCACTATGCCATGATGGTAAAACACCATAGAGATAGGAAATGATAGATAATCTTGAATGAACAAAAAAAAAGCAGCTAGTTTTTCCTTAGGGAAGCCATCTTTAATTCGCCTCGCAGACAAAATGTTTGATTTTCTTGAAAGAAAATATCAGCTAGGAAATTATTTCACTGGTTACTGTGAATTAGTTTTTTTAAGTTTAAAATGAGCCAATAAATATTCATATCAATAAAGGAGAATATTTGTAGCTCAGGGTTCAAATGGTGCTGTTTTCTTGCAGACATTTCATTACTCTAACGAGGTAGCATCATCAGCACTAATAAGAATTGCAGTTTGCTGTTCGCATTCATATTTTTCGTAGAGGCGATTGTACGCGCTCCTGCTGTAATTGAGATCGGTTGTGACAGCAGTGCTGGATTTCTTCAATTATTATCACTGTATAGAAGGTGTCCATGAGTCTCATTTACTGAATGTCTGAGTCAACAAGCATTCTAGACCAACCGAAGAGAGGGCGCCAAAGACGCTCGGAAGTGGCGCTTGAGGCGTGTCACCCGCGCCTCGTAGGGAAGAGGGCGGGGCCGAGGCTTATTTAACTGTCCGCAGTTCACGCGTTGTGCAGTTGTTGTCTTCGTCATCGGTTGGTCTCGTCATCATGCGCAAAACAGGCCCCCTCCCCCGCCTACCCATCCGCGGAGCGGGTGACAGTGGAGGCGATCCTTTGGGTGCATGTTTGTACTTGTCAGCCGTAAATTGATCAGCATTTGTGTAGGAAGACATAAATGCCTTAGTTTAAAATATATATATAGTGCGAAGGCGAAAGACAACCCAAGGTCTCTTACAGAAATACCGTGTAGTTTTACCTTGGTATTATACCCTGCAGGTGATTGATGTGCATGTACACAAATGTCTACTCTAGAAGCAGACATTCACGAACGATCCAAAGGTAGAAAACTGGCCAGGGTATTTCCTTCAGTGAAGAAATGAACAGAGTGAAAATTTGAATTTCCTGCCTTCTAAATTATTATTGATATTTGTAGAGATCAACTGGCTTGCCAACTGCCAAGTTTTAATACCAAATTTGTCCATTGCATAGATATATTAATGAACATAGTACAAATAAGAATCAAAGCATCTTTCTTTTCAATTCCACATTCTATTTATTCTATTCAAAATGAGAATTTATTTAGCACATGCCATATCATACACGGACTGGCAATATATATTAACATTTCATCTAGATTAGTAAAACACAATAAAATATAAATGTTAAAAAGATCTATGTTCAAATACCAATGTCTAGACTCTAGGCCATCTAACAACTGAAGTGCAGCATTGTTTATATTTTTAAAAATCAGATACTGGACTGGTTTATGCCCTTAGTTTACAGCCAATCATGATGTGATCTACAGTTTGACGTGGACCCCGCATTCACACTGAGGGGAGGATATGATGCCCCATTTATACAAAGAGTCCCAGCAGACGCTGTGTGAGATGTCAATCCTGTTGAAGATGGTCCATTACTGACATGGTAGTTCAAAAGCCTGGTATCTTTTTTGTGGTAAGGTAGGAGGACATGGGTCATGGAGTGAAATGTGAAACTTAAATGTGTGTATTACAGTTATAAGACAAGACATGAGTTATAAAGCAGAACATGAGTTCTAAATATGTGTATTAGAAGGAGAACAAAAGGAAGTGGAAAGATGTCAAGCCCCAGGTTCAATTGGTGGTCGCACAAAGATGTCAGAATTGCTGCTCGGCTACAGCTAACCACATAGGCCTTTATGTCTCATCTATAGCTAACCACAAATATGTTACAGGAAGTTTAGACGCTATAGCTAGAGAGCTTCACAGTTTAGGCAGGATATGGGGAGGGGGCTGCAAGGATGCTGTATGGGGGCTGTGATTCGAAGCAACCAATTAATGCTATCAGTTACATTTCCGTGTTTTGCTGTTTCTGACGAGAATATATAAACTTGTGCTTTGTTATGAGAAGCTGTTCAGATGTGACTACAAATATAGTGCTCTGAACCTTTTGCGCAAAATAAACCAACTTCTTTTGATTCCGTGGTCTGAGTCCTGTGATTTTCTGCAATAGTGGGGTCATACATATGTCTTCCTATGTCTGGGTGTTCAGCGACCAATTTGGCTTTCCATTGGGAATCTATGTTAAAGTTGTTGGGCAGATGTTGTGCAAATGCCAGGAGGGCTTGTTGGATTTGAGTCTTCCTGCTGATAAATGAGGAAGGTCAGTATGCACCGGTAGGAGTGAGTTGTTCATAATTTTTCTGTATTCTCTCACTAGTACATCTTGCCTTCATAAAGCTGGCGGTGCTATATTGCTCATAACAGGAAGCCAGCAAGTCAGAATTGTTTTAAAACATCCATGTATCATTCTCACAGTGTTGTTGAGTCTAGCATCTTAACTTCCTAGTATAGCAGTTGTTAAGCCATACAGGTCATAGTTTTCTGTTGCAGAGTAAACTCTAGCATGATGACCTGAGAGTGGCAGCTGAGGCTCATTTAGTTATACATAATTTCTGGAATATGTTGTTCGTAGTACTGATTTTTGCCACTGTATTCTTTAGATATATCTTGTAATAGAATGTATGGTCCAATGTTACTCCAAGGTACTTTTTATGGGGATCACAGGGGAGTAGATCATGAGTGGGGAACTATGGTCCTTTTATGACTTGTGGACTTCAATTCCCAGAATTCCTAAGCCAGCCATATTGAGGAATTCTGAGTTGAAGTCCACAAGTCATAGTTCTCCACCTGTGAAGTAGACCTGGGGGGGGGGGTGTCATATGCTAGTTCATTGTTAAGGTGGAAGCAAGTAGTTAACATTTTGCTGGTGCTAGGAGTGAGCCTCCAGTCAGTGAAGATTTTTCCCAAGATTTTAAGGTCTTTGGATAGGACGCTGTCAGCTACCTCCATGTGTTTTTCTTGTACTGTTATGGCCATATCAGCATGTCCAAATTTGTGTCTCTCTGTCACCAGCATTGTATAATATAAGTTGAATAGTATAAGTGCCATTACAGAACTGGGGGATGGAGTTGTTTAATCTTCTTATATTATTTTTGTTGTTCCCATTATTATCTAAAAGGATCTATCACTCAGCATGTTAGCAATTAGTCAGTAGAGATTTTTGCAGGGGATAATATGTTGGAGCTTTGGAGAGAGATACAATTCAAGAGGCTATTTGGTCAGGAGTTATATTGGATATTTGTTGTGAGGGCTGTCTAGCTCCATCCAGTTTCCTTAGTTCCTGCTGGATTTGCTGGAATGTAGTAATTCTGTGTCTTGTTCCCACTTCTTACATCAAGCTATATTTCTGGATTGCTGCTCTGTAATAAAGTCTTGTAGAGTCTCTCCTTTCTCCAAATGAGAAATAATATGGGTAAAAACAACAGACAACAATTTCTTTGTTTCAAATGTTAAAAATAGACTGTAGGTTTTTTGCTTAATGCCTTGTTCGTGTTTAATGCAATGTAATGTGGTGAATGTATTTCTCTTTTAAACCCTGCAAGTCAGCCAGAAATTTCTCAATATAGCTTAGAAAGCCTTTCAACTTTAACAAGACTTTCAATTTTCAGCAATTTAGTTCCAACTTTTATTCTAATTCATTTCTCATTATATATTCTGATGTTTCATATATTCAATGCAGTTTTGTTGTTAGTAATATTTTCTATGCCCTCTACAGCAGGGCTTTTCAAGCAGTGGTATGGGTACCACCTGTGGTACATTGGTACCTGGCAGGTGGTATGCGACCATCCTAGAAAAGTGGTAGTGGGGGAGGGGAATGAGCTGAACCAGTGGCAGCACCACACAAGCCTGTGTAAGAGATGGCTGGAGCTGCAGGGCTGTCAGGGTTCAGCGGAAGCACCAGGATCAGTGCCGCTTTCCAGCTGATAGGCGCTTCTTTGGGGCTGTCAGGGCTCAGTGGAAGTGCCAGGATAAGCGCCAGGCTCCAGCTGGAGCTCGGCACTGATCCTGGTGCTTCTGCTGAGCCCTGAAGAAGCACCAATCAGCTGGAAAGCAGCACTGATCCTGGCATTTCTGCTGAGCACAGAAGAAGCGCCGATCAGCTGGAATGTTGCAGCATCTCCAGGGTCTTGTGATTTACATTCAGATGCTTGGCAAATTATTCATATTTATGATGGTCAGTGTCCCAGGGTCATGTAAAGTGACCAAAACCTGCTGCAACCACCCAGCAGACGGGGGGAATAAAAACCAAACACCTCCCCACCCCACCCCCGCTGCCAATCCTCAACAGAAATGCTCACAACAATGGAAACTTCGGACAGGAGGAAGAGCTCTGCTGGGTGGGCAGGCAGGTGTCTTGCTTGGCTGTGGCTTGGGGGGCACTTTTTTCAGTGCCATTGTAACTTCGAAGAGTCACTAAGCGAACTGTTGTAAGTCGAGGACTACCTGTACTTTATTACTTTTTTCCTTTTTTGGGGGGGGTCATCAAGTTTTTGACACCTTGCTAGGCGACTGGTGGTACTCGGATATTGCCAGATCCTAAAAGTGGTACAATGGGTGAAAAGGTTAAAAAGCCCTGCTCTACAGGTATACGGTCTGTTTGATTTTTGGCTTATCCGTCTAACAGTGTTGTATAGAATACTTTGAATCTTTCCATTATTACTAAAATAAATTTGGCTGACAAAAGATTAATAATTTTTAAAAATTCACAAATCTCATTCTTCCCATATATCTGTTATAATTCTTCAAAAATCATAATTTATGAAATTTATGCTCCACATGGGTTTTGGGTTGGAAAGAGTCAATAACCTATAACAGTGTTTTAGTTCTAAAATAAACTTATGAGCTATCTCTGATTCCCTGAAACATCCCATTGTTGTTTACAATAGCTTTATTTATGAAGGGAATATAATTATTAATACAAATTCTGTAATGGGAGATTCTCAAAAAGAGCAGGAAAACTTGTTGTAAGGCAGAAAAACATATTGCCAGATAGCAATGGATTAGGTGGTTGAAAAACATGTGACTAAAGTGGGCCCATCAACTGGGTCCATGTAGGAGGGATG